TCTCACTGTTGCGGTCGACCACAAACCACTCCCCAAGCCATTTGGCGACCGATCCCTCGAACATATCTCCAATGCTCGACTCCGAAACCTAAAGGAAAAAACATTGCGCTACAAATTCCAGATGGTTCATGTACCAGGTGCAAAACACCGCGCTGCTGATGCTGTGTCCCGCCATCCAACTGGCCACCCTGAGGAAATGGTGTTGATAGATGACATTGCAGCCATCTGCCATGATGACGACTTGCTTGACCTCCCAACTTTCTCAAATGTCAGTCACATGATCCTAGCTTCAATAAGATGCAGCGAGAAACCTGATGACATCATTGAGGACTCAGTTATACACTCAGCCGTGTCGTTGATCAGCTCCCTCCAGTCCATCACCTGGGACAAGGTTTGGGTAGCTACAAGCAGTGACAAGGATATGGTGAAGCTGGTGGGAATGATTGAATCAGGGATGCCAGAATTCCGCCATGAATTACCACCATCACTTCGCGAATACCATCAATCTCATGAGCATCTTCATACGGTCGATGGGGTTGTCATATACAAGGATTGAATCGTGATTCCCATATTACTACGACAGGATGTCCTGACTGCACTCCAATCAGCTCACCAAGGCATGTCATCGATGATGGCAAGAGCTGAAGCATCTGTCTTCTGGCCTGGAATCACTCCAGCTATCACAGCCCTCAGAAACGATTGCAATGACTGCAACCGTATGGCCCCCTCCCAACCTTGTGGCCCACCCACGCCACCTGTCTACCCAGTCTACCCATTTCAATGTGTGTGTGCTGACTTTTTCCATTACAAAGGGATCAACTACTTAGTGGTTAACTACTCAGATACTCCATCTAGCCTATAGTTGAAAGAACCTCCAATGGTGCACCTGGCCTGATTGATTATCTACGCCGAACAATTGTCACCTTTGGCATTCCGGATGAGCTATCCTCTGATGGTGGCCCTGAATTCACAGCCTCAACTACCAAAGAGTTCCTTCGAACATGGGGTGTGCATCATCGCCTGTCATCTGTTGCCTTCCCACACAGCAATTGTCGAGCAGAGGTTGGTATCAAGACTGTCAAAAGATTGATAACGAACAACACTGGACCTAATGGGGAACTTGACACTGAGGCCTTCCAACGTGCAATGCTACAATACAGGAACACTCCAGACAGACACCAAGTTATCCTCTGCGATGTGCATCTTCGGTAGACCCATAAAGGACTTTATACCCATACTACCTGGTCGCTATAAACCACATGACACATGGCGCAATACCCTTTCCATGAGAGAGGATGCTTTGAGAAACCGACATATGAGGATGGCTGAACGGCTTACTGAGCACACCAAACAGCTACCATCCCTTGTTGTTGGGAATCTCGTCCGAATCCAAAATCAAACAGGCCCTCACACACTGAAATGGGACAAAACTGGATGTGTGATCGAAGTTCGCCAATTCGACCAGTATGTTGTACGTGTGGACGGCTCAGGCAGAGTGACTCTACGCAACAGGAAACTCCTCCGCAAATACACTCCTGTATATCCACCCACACCAACAGTCACAGTTGCTGATCATTTGCCAGGCCATATCCATTCAACATCACCAGCTGGTCTCAATGGTACATATTACCGTCCTTTCTTGCAGAAGGCCTCATCCAGGCCCAGCAATGCCAACAGTAATCAGCCTGTTGCCCACTCGCAGAAGGAATTAAACTTGATGGAACCATCATCCTCAGCTGTGCCAGCAACGACTACTGTAAGTTCCTCAGACCTGTCATTGGAACTACCAAGCTTTCAACACCAGACTGTTGCTCCTCAACAACCTACCGCACCGTCGTTGAAAACAACACCAAATACAAGAACGCTACCATCCCAATGTCCTGCCCCAGTGGACGTTGAACCCAGACGTTCTACTCGGAGAAAGAATGCACCCTCGTGGCTTAGTGACTATATTCATGCTATCTGGGTGGAATAACCCCTCAGACATGCATGTGTTACATGACATTCCTGTCATCCTTCCCTTCCATAGATATGGAGGATTGGAACATTCATAATATGTGACATCAACACACTTGAAGACATTTCAGTTCATTTAAAACTCAGTCAAGACTTGACTGCTTTATTAAGTCCTTGTCATACTTTTTGCAAGATCTACCAATGACTTGGGTAGGGATAGAGGATTATGTACATTTACATTATACAATCATGTGTTGCATTAAGGGTTTTTTTCTGTTCTGTGTTACAGATCTCCATCACTTGTGATGTCGAATAAAGATATCTCAAAACAGTATAATACCTACTCATTTAATAATATAAACAACTGCATATTTTTACCATAAAAGCAGAACAATTTGAAAACAAATATAAATCTCAGTCAAACTTGCTCTTTGGCCTTTGGCCTTTTATTTCTTATTTCTGATAAAGTATGTAGTTGAGGTGAGGTGAAACAAGGGCCAGACAGGGTAACAACAAGTGTCACCTTATAACGTCTTTTCAGATGACGCAGCCGGGGATCATATCCCTGAACTTCCGCTCTACCACTAGACCACAGAGGCAGTCTGCAAATTTGTAAGTACGGCTGCTTTGACAGTATTATTTGACATTAACATGCAAGACAATAACCAAGCAACTCTACGATACCTTTGTGTGTTAATTACTGTAAATCTTGAAATTAATGTGTCTCCAAATTAATATGACTGCTGACACCTACTGCAACTCAAAATCAATGCGACTCCCTCCAACCCCTCCCCAGTGGAATGATACATATCCTCACCTTAATCCAATCAAACAGCAAATAGCACTGCTTAGAGTAAGGCACTTCTATAATAACAATAAACAGTGTTTGCCTATAAACAACACACAGTTTATAGGTTTATTCTGCTGACTGGCATTAAGGAAGTTCAAAGGCAATAAAATGATTGAACCAACAACAGTTCACTGATTGGAGTTGTCAGTGCTGCCTCGTTTGACACAAGTAGGTAGAACTCTTGACCCAAGCAGTGATAACTCACCAGATGCCCATTGTGTAACTGCTATTCTTTAAATGACATTGTTATATACTTGTTACAACTGCTGCTCAATAAACAGTGCTTGTGTATATTTTCAAGTTGGTATTTCCGCTATCCAAAGTGTGCAGTGAGACCTTGTTATTGTTGATAGTCATTTTGGAAACATATATGCAAAGTTTCATTAATGCAAACAAAGACCACTTGAATTTTTTGCATCTAATTAACACTCGCATGAATTTCAAGATTTACAGTATACAGTAAAATCCTTTTGTCTGCACCTGGTTAATGTAGCGGAAGATATATATCCATCTGTCCAGTACATCCCAAACCTGTTTTTGTTCCGAATAGCAAAAAATGCCAAAGTACACCTCCAATCATTATACCTGCTTCATTAAGAGGATAAAAACAAGTCAGGCCTGCTTTCAGAAATATCTGTGGTCAGTTGTAGTCACAGAGGCATCCAGAAATGAAAGTAAGACAGAAATGATCCATTCAGTAACAGTATATAGCAAGGGTCTCACTGCTTTAATGTATCTAGCTAACCCTACAGTACAGGTTATTGCATTATGTCTTCAGAAATCTCAAGTGGATCTAGGTTGAGTAAATATTCTCACATTGTATGCACATTCATTACAGATAATTTGTTTGGATAAACCAGTCATTCATTGGGCAGTCATGTATGCTTTATACATTGAAATTTGTCATCACTCACCCCTTTCAGTGACCCGACAAATCAACAATATGGAAATGACACAAGTAGTCACGAATGTTGTTGGATGACAAAGAATGAACTCTTCAGGATTTTATTATGGTTGTTTTCTGAGGAACAAAACCTTCCAAATGGCTTGCTGGTTTTCTTGGTGGAATTAGTCCGTAAAGAGCCGGAGTCGCAGGAGACTAATAACAATTTTATTTGCAAGAACAATGAACAATGTTCAATGCAATCTATAAGACTATGTAGACATAACTTTTGTCTTATTGAATAGTTTGTCTGGGAGATGGGATATTGTTACCGTAGGCTAGCATATATTTAAAAAGCTATAACTGAAACTACTAATATTTTGTATCTGCATTTTTCCTTGATTAATATGTACTACTCGCTGCTCTATAATTATATGAAATTTTGTATAAATGTTACACCATGATAACTTATAAAAGCACTTGCTGTGGATCTAATTATTATATGAAAACTTAGTATAAACGTTCTATCATGAAAATTTACAGAAAAAAGGGTAAAAGTGCACAACCACTCATGATAATTTACAGAATATATATTTGAACTTATATATATGAACATGTGGTCCCTATAGCAGCAGTACAGACAATATGTTAGTCTGCAATTTCGATGAGAAAGGTTCCTTTTCATTGTACCAATGGTAAGATTTCCCTGACACTAAAAATGTATTAAAATGAAGATAAATGTAGGAGACAAATGTAAAAAAAACTTATGCTATCTAGTCTTGGTGTGGATACAGTAAATGGGTACATATTTCACAAGATTCCAGCAGGTTTTGCCCAGCCTAACCAATGAAATTTATCTCCAGGTAAATATTTGCATAGTCAGGTACACACAAGTCTTCTACAAATGTAACAGTTCACTGCTGCTAAACGCCCAGGCCACCCAAATGAGTCTCCTTGCAGTAATGAAGGTCGGTAATCAATCATGTGCTTACGGAACGGTGACACCAGTACACAGGATAGTCAAAGTCCTTTGATGCACACTTCAGTGACTTTGCCCAAGCATGCGAAAAGCTGGGTTCTGTAGTAGGAATTGAAAACCACCGATCTAAAGAGACACTCTGACGGTTCAATACTGACTGCTGCATTTTTTAATACTTTTTTTCACAATTTGTTACGGGGACATACAACATATGTTACAGATATCATTTTGATATTCTGATAGCAGGTTTATGGATGGAAAAAAAAAGCTCTGTTGTGTTAACTTAATTGTCCTTCAAGGATCCAGACTTACATATCAACAGATCGACCTACCTCCCGCATCTTGACAAACAGATATTGTTTCTGGTCTTCAGAGAGTTCAGCCAGCAGCTCTGGCTCGATGTACATATCCCTCAGTATTTGCTGCAGCATTCTTGTTTTCTACAGAACAAATCAATAAATCCTGTGTGACATAACCTGTAGGATGTGGTGCTGTGGTATAGCATATTTGGCCAATGGAATGTTGGACTACAAATGTTATGGTTTTGTACTATATCTGTGATATGTACACAATGGGTCCATGTTAGTTTTTCACCTTAGATTTGGTCCTGCACCTTAAGTCAGTAGCTGACACTTGTATAAACAAACAATAGTTTCAACCTTATCATGAAGTCTGGAAATTTAACTCTCACAATGTCCAACATAAATATGTTGAAGCAGAAATGGACCTATGCATTCAGAACATGTTGTCTTACATTCTGATGTGTCAATTAAAGTAACATCATGGCAAATTTTTGGATTATGACATATCCGACAGAACACCAGCTTTCAAACATAGTGAGTGAGTTGGGTTTAACGCCGCTTTTAATAGTATTCCAGTTATATCACGGCGTGTCAGCTTAATGTGGGAGGAAAGCCTGAAGTGATGCAGGTCTCAGACGTTTACCACTTCGGTGAAACCCACGAGCACTGGTATGGTGCTGACAAACCTAGAAACATACTATGGGATTTGAACCGGGATTTGAACCCACAATCATAAGTTTCTGGTGTGCCCAAGGGAAGCAATTCTGCACAGCGAATCGCGGCACCTTAGACGACTGGGCCACGGGTGCCCCCGCTTACAAACAGAAAACTTCAACATCGCGAAACATACAGGAAGTACAGTAGTGCAAAATATTCTAGATACACCCATAACACTATGGAGTTACGCCTATAGCTACAACTATGGAGTTACACCAACAGCTACAACTATGGTGTTACATCAATAGCTACAACTATGGTGTTACACCTATAGCTACAACTATGGTGTTACACCTATAACTACAACTATGGTGTTACACCTATAGCTACAACTATGGTGTTACATCGATAGCTACAACTATGGTGTAACACCTATAGCTACAACTTTTGAGTTACGCCGATAGCTACAACTATGGTGTTACACCTATAGCTACAACTATGGTGTTACACTTATAGCTACAACTATGGTGTTACACCTATAGCTACAACTATTGAGTTATGCCGATAGCTACAACTATGGTGTTACACCTATAGCTACAGCTATGGTGTTACACCTATAGCTACAACTATGGAGTTACACCGATAGCTACAACTATGGTGTTACACCTATAGCTACAACTATGGAGTTACGCCGATAGCTACAACTATGGAGTTATACCGATAGCTACAACTATGGTGTTACATCGATAGCTACAACTATGGTGTTACACCTATAGCTACAACTATTGAGTTACGCCGATAGCTACTACTATGGTGTTACACCTATAGCTACAACTATGGTGTTACACGTATAGCTACAACTATTGAGTTATGCCGATAGCTACAACTATGGTGTTACACCTATAGCTACAACTATGGTGTTACACCTATAGCTACAACTATGGAGTTACACCGATAGCTACAACTATGGTGTTACACCTATAGCTACAACTATGGTGTTACACCTATAGCTACAACTATGGTGTTACACCTATAGCTACAACTATTGAGTTATGCCGATAGCTACAACTATGGTGTTACATCTATAGCTACAACTTTGGAGTTACACCGATAGCTACAACTATGGTGTTACACCTATAGCTACAACTATGGTGTTACACCTATAGCTACAACTATGGTGTTACACCTATAGCTACAACTATGGTGTTACACCTATAGCTACAACTATGGTGTTACACCTATAGCTACAACTATTGAGTTACACCGATAGCTACAACTATGGTGTTACACCTATAGCTACAACTATGGTGTTACACCTATAGCTACAACTATGGTGTTACACCTATAGCTACAACTATTGAGTTATGCCGATAGCTACAACTATGGTGTTACATCTATAGCTACAACTATGGTATTACACCTATAGCTACAACTATGGAGTTACACCTATAGCTACAACTATGGTGTTACATTGATAGCTACAACTATGGTGTTACACCTATAGCTAAAACTATGGTGTTACACCTATAGATCCAATTACAGTGTTATCAAGTAAGTGTTCGCAGGTATTGCCATGCAATTGTTAAAATGCCCCCTACAATCTCTGACTTACCACAAGACTGACTCAAGACTCTCTCCAAATAAATCAGAGCAAGGATAACTACCTGAACCTATGTGAACATAGTAGAATTTGTACCTACTCTATCTTGTCTGTCTAACCACAGCCCGGGGCTACAATGTCAATCAGTCATTGAATATATCTACCTGTAATCATTTACTTGTAGCAAAGGGTCAGCACTACATGAAGTGAATAAGTGTATAGATTGCATGTATGCCTCCATTTTGACTAATGAGTTATCATGGAAAATCCTACATTGAATTACACACATGAATTTCTGTATGTTATATGTTTATGATAAAATATGCCTGCGAGGTTTTGGGTTGAAAATGTAAAACCGCGAGCAAGGCTTTTCCCGAGCTCAAGATTTTACATTTTCAACCAAAACAGAAGAGGTGTGTTTTGTCCAACTTATAAACCATCTAAATGCAAGAAATATAAGAGAAAAATAAGAAAACATTGAATTACCTTATAGTAAAACAATACAGTGTGTCGCAGTATAAAAGGACTTTGATCAAAGTGTGCTCTGATATAGTGTCAATATAGTGAAAGGAGGTGTTTCAAGAGCCATCAGATCACAAGATAGATGGACATCTCTGATATAGTGTAAATATAGTGAAAGGATGTGTTTCAAGAGTTATCAGGTCACAAGATAGATGGACATCTCTGATGTAGTGTAAAGGTACTGAAAGGAGGTGTTTCAAGAGCCATCAGATCACCAGATATACGGAATCTCTGATGTAGTGTAAATGTAGTAAAAGGAGGTGTTTCAAGAGTCATCAGATCACAAGATAGATGGACATCTCTGATATAGTGTAAATGTAGTAAAAGGAGGTGTTTCAAGAGTTATCAGATCATCAGATAGACGGAATCTCGGATGTAGTGTAAATATAGTGAAAGGAGGTGTTTCAAGAGCCATCAGATCACCAGATATACGGAATCTCTGATGTAGTGTAAATATAGTGAAAGGAGGTGTTTCAAGAGTTATCAGATCACCAGATAGACGGAATCTCGGATGTAGTGTAAAAGTAGTAAAAGGAGGTGTTTCAAGAGTTATCAGATCATCAGATAGACGGAATCTCGGATGTACTGTAAATATAGCGAAAGGAGGTGTTTCAAGAGCCATCAGATCACCTGATAGACGGAATCTCGGATGTAGTGTAAATGTAGTAAAAGGAGGTGTTTCAAGAGTTATCAGATCACCAGATAGATGAACATCTCTGATGTAGTGTAAATGTAGTAAAAGGAGGTGTTTCAAGAGTTATCAGATCACAAGATAGACGGAATCTCGGATGTAGTGTAAATGTAGTAAAAGGAGGTGTTTCAAGAGTTATCAGATCACAAGATAGACGGAATCTCTGATGTTGTGCAAAGGTACTGAAAGGAGGTGTTTCAAGAGTCATCAGATCACGAGATAGACGGAATGTCTGATGTAGTGTAAAAGTAGGTGTTTCAAGAGTTATCAGATCACCAGATAGACGGAATCTCTGATGTTGTGCAAAGGTACTGAAAGGAGGTGTTTCAAGAGTCATCAGATCACGAGATAGACGGAATGTCTGATGTAGTGTAAATATAGTGAAAGGAGGAGTTTCAAGAGCCATCAGATCACCAGACAGATGGACATCTCTGATATAGTGTAAATATAGCGAAAGGAGGAGTTTCAAGAGCCATCAGATCACCAGATAGATGGACATCTCTGATATAGTGTAAATATAGTGAAAGGAGGTGTTTCAAGAGCCATCAGATCACCAGATATACAGAATCACTGATGTAGTGTGAAGGTACTGAATGGAGGTGTTTCAAGAGTTATCAGATCACCAGATAGACGGAATCTCTGATGTAGTGTAAATATAGTGAAAGGAGGAGTTTCAAGAGCCATCAGATCACAAGATAGATGGACATCTCTGATATAGTGTAAATATAGTGAAAGGAGGAGTTTCAAGAGCCATCAGATCACCAGATAGATGGACATCTCTGATATAGTGTAAATATAGTGAAAGGAGGTGTTTCAAGAGCCATCAGATAACCAGATAGATGGACATCTCTGATATAGTGTAAATATAGTGAAAGGAGGAGTTTCAAGAGCCATCAGATCACCAGAAAGATGGACATCTCTGATATAGTGTAAATATAGTGAAAGGGGGTGTTTCAAGAACATCAGATCACAAGATATACGGAATCACTGATGCAGTGTAAATATAGTGAAAGGAGGTGTTTCAAGAGCCATCAGATCACCAGATATACGGAATCTCTGATGTAGTGTAAACATAGTAAAAGGAGGTGTTTCAAGAGTTATCAGATCACCAGATAAATGGACATCTCTGATGTAGTGTAAATGTAGTAAAAGGAGGTGTTTCAAGAGTTATCAGATCACCAGATAGACGGAATCTCGGATGTAGTGTAAATGTAGTAAAAGGAGGTGTTTCAAGAGTTATCAGATCACCAGATAGAGGGAATCTTTGATGTAGTGTAAACATAGTAAAAGGAGGTGTTTCAAGAGTTATCAGATCACCAGATAGATGGACATCTCTGATGTAGTGTAAATGTAGTAAAAGGAGGTGTTTCAAGAGTTATCAGATCACCAGATAGAGGGAATCTTTGATGTAGTGTAAATGTAGTAAAAGGTGGTGTTTCAAAAGTTATCAGATCACCAGATAGATGGAATCTCTGATGTAGTGCAAAGGTACTGAAAGGAGGTGTTTCAAGAGTCATCAGATCACCAGATAGATGGACATCTCTGATATAGTGTAAATATAGTGAAAGGAGGAGTTTCAAGAGCCAACAGATCACCAGATAGACGGAATCTCTGATGTAGTGCAAAGGTACTGAAAGGAGGAGTTTCAAGAGCCATCATATCACCAGA